ATATATATATATAATTTTATAGGCAGATACTTTGAAAGAGTAAATGGCTTGGAAGCCAGATAGACCTGAGTTTATGTCTCAGCCCTGATGTGTACTAACATATATGATTGGCAGCTACCCTGGTTTTCCTAAGACTGTCCCACTTTGAGCACTGAAAGTCTCATTACTCAAGAAGCCCTTGATTCCCAGGAAAACTGGAACCACTGGTCCCCTATTTAGTGCCTTGTTAAGCATGGTTATGTGGGCATGGAAAGCCTTAAGTGGTCAGATCTAGAGTTCATCCACAGTGTGGGTCACCTGAATAGATCAGCAATGGTGGACTGGTGCTTGTTGGTGGTGGGGATGCAGAGGCAGGAGGAGAGGGCTTCTTGAGGGTGGCTATGCAAAAGTGAGGGGAGTTGTACTGATCAAGTGAAATGTTGGTTTTATAGAAAGAAGAAAAGTAAACAGGAGAGTAATCTCTATAATGACCAAGAAGGAGAGTTGGGGTGGCAGCTGAAGAGGGGGTTGGGGAAATATATGGACAGTAGCTAAAATTATATGTGAGAATCTCCCCTTCTCAATTTTAGGTCACCATGTACATAGAAAAAAGGGCTGAGTTTCTGTCATCTGGCAAGAATATCCAATAAGTAAGTGAATCAGGCATCAACTACTACAGTGACACCCAAGTAAAGTGGCCAGTAGGATGACTTTCTAAATGGTTTTTCAGAAAAAGAAAATTGATTTTGCTTTATATCTTATCCTACCCAATGCAGTGTTCTTCCCTTCTTTGCAGGCATGCTGTTTTTCTCCAAAGAACACATGAAATAAGTGACAAAGAAAGAACGCAAGTGTAGAAATAACAGCAATAGCAACAACAACCACAGCAAAACCTGCTATACCTCCAGGTAAATGGAGCCAGTAAAAATAATCCATACTTCTCTTTTGTCAGTTTCATGCTCCTGCTCTCTTACATGTGTATCATCCGTCCATCTGCCTGCCTATCTGTGTCTGTCTGTCTGTCTGTCTATCTATCTATCTATCTATCTATCTATCTATCTATCTATCTATCTTCTATGGTTTGGATGAGGTATAACAATGTGAATTTCAGAAGCACCTTTAATAGGCTATGAGCTAAGCATGAGGATAAATTTGCAGCTTAGGATGTACCAGCAGGACAACTGCAGCCTGAGAGAACATCAGAAGAATTTCTAGCCCATGGGTGTCACCAGCAGTACTATGCTGTAGTTGAGGGTCTACTAACTGCACTTCTGCATCTTGTAGAACACCACCAGATTGAGGAGGTCAGGAGAACTGCTGGATCCTAGAGAAGCAAAAGTAAGGCTTCTCCTGCAAGTGAGCACCAGCAGGGAGGTCACTACACAGAGAAGTGATTTCAGGGTTACAGCAGCCCAGGGGAATACCATCAGGGAAGCCATAGCTCAGGGGAGTGCTTACAGGGATGCTCTAGTCCAAGATTAAATGAAGCCACAGTGGGCAACTGAGTGTGGGCGTCCTTGTCCTGTGCTTGCTTCTTCTGAGGCAGGAGAGTCCTTTCCCCTTCTCGTTCTATGTTCTTACGCCTTCCCTCATACCAGTGCTGATTCCCAAATGTGGAAGTGTGTGTGATGAGAATAAAGATGGATAGTGAAGATGAGATGAGCTGGCCAAGAAAGTCTGATGAGCAAGGGCTCATACCACGTGGACCTCAGTACACAGACTTTCTGTAATTTGAGCCAGCACACTTTGGGGCTCAGAATTTTCTTGGCAATAAAGGACAACTCTTCCCAGACCCCAGTCAGCTTAAACCCTCCTGGTGCATCCCTTTTGACATGAAAGGTAGGAATAAAAAGGAAGAAAAAAGGCAACACAGCATTTTGGTAAAATGTTTCCTGAACACCCTGCACTATTTTGGGGTCTTTTCAGTTTTTGCATCTGCAAAATAAATCACTAGTTTTTC